GTGGCCCTGTGAGGCAGAGCTGTCCAGCTAGTGTGGCACAAACAGGGGCGTTGCCGGCAGCACAACGGGTAGGCTCCAGGGGTTTTATTACCTATGGAGTGGGGGTGACCATAGCCCTATGTGTCTGATGGTCATCAGGGACTCCCGAGATGCTGTGCAGGGCTGGCCAGCAGTACACAGCCACTTGGTGTGGGGGTTCCCTGGCTTTCTGAATAGGACACCACGTGACACAGGACAGATGAAGGGTGAGGAGGAGAGCTAGCAAGTAGGGAAGGTGGGACAGGGAACAGGCCCCAGCTTCGCTGGCAGCATTCGTTGCTATCGTGAAATGAGAAATTGCCCCACAGTGCTCATGACTTGCTTGAAGGATGTCCGGGATTGACGTGTTTTGCTCTAACACACCCCAGAACTCACTCCAGTTCCAGACTAAAGCCTACTTAGGGTGTCTGGGAGCCAGTCAGATCCTATGTCCCATTGCGCACCTCTCCTTGGTTCTCTATCTGCCCCATGACCGCTCCGCTTGTTTTAACCAAGATTGTGGCTGGTGGTGTTGCTGGCAGCTGATAAAGAGGAAGTGCTACAGGGATGCAGAACCCAGACCCCTGCATCTAGAGACAGTAGTGCAGCCTAGTGGGTAGGGACGAGACAAAAGGAAGCTCTAGTTTAAATATGAGGAAAGTTCCCGGATGTGAACCTTCAAAGAGCGGAGAGAAATGCCTCGGGTTGCAGTCTGCAAGGAAAGATGGGCCTGGATGAGCTGGAGGAAGGAAGAGCCAGTGTCAGAGCTCCGGGTACAAGAGGTGCTGTGGTTGCCCTGCTGGATGAGCAGAGCTGGCTAATGTCACAAGCCAGATGCTGGGAGGGAGGAGGTGGCTTTGGAGTTGACGGCCCCAGGTTTGCTCCCCGACTAGGGTGGGTGGTAAGGAACTGCCTGTGAGGACCTGGATTCCGGGGAGGGCTGGACTTTGAGGACATTGATCTGGGAGGGATTTGTGCTTTGTTTTTGAGACAGACTGGCTTCAACTTCACTATGTAGCGTGAAAATGACCGTGTGCTCCCAATCTTCCTGTCTTTACCTCCCGAATGCTGGAATTACAAGCCACTCTGCCCAGCATGGTGATTTTTGCTTCTTCTTCTTCTTCTTCTTTTTTTTTTTTTTTTTAAGGACAGCAAGGCCTAGAGTCTTGGAAAGAATTAGAAGCTAGAGGTAATTTGGGAACCATGATTGGCGGGGGGAGGCGAGGGGGTTGTTGCTGGCAGCTAATAAAGAGAAAGAGCCACAAAATGGCAGAATGGTGCCCTAAGATGGGAAAAGGGGCTGGGGCTCAAAGAGGGGAGGGCAAAGTGTCAGTGGGAGGGGATATGCAGAGGGGTCCGGTGTCGAGCGCCTGCCAAGCGAATCTTCAACATCACAGTAAGTTCAAAGGTGGGTGCGGAGTTTTGGGGCTACAAAGAGCAGGAGCAATGTCTTCTGGATGAGAGGAAGTGACATGAAGTCCTGAGAACCAAGGCACGGAGCAAGGAGAGGCACTCTGTGATGTGCTTTTGGGGTTACATCAGCCCCAGCCTGACTGAGGCCACATTTCCCTCAGAGAAACAGCCCTGCCTCCCAGAACCCCTCTCCACCCCCAGTGGTGACTCTCTCTACCAGCTTCCTACTGTGCTCACTGTGTCCAGCACGATTGTCTCAGCCGCCCCTGGAATGATGGGGCTATCTCATTTTCAGAGTCAGCCAGGCTCGGGTTGGGAGCTGCTGGGGTCAGCTGAAGGAAAGGGAGATAGCAAGTTTATTTTAAACCCAAGTGGGCATTGGCGCTGCTAACGTTACATTACATTCTCTCGAGGAGAACGGTGATCAGCAGGCAGCCTCTCAGACGCTTGTCAGGAGCCTGGAGGCTGCCCAGGAGACAGGACCCTGCCAGAGGGACTGGGCATCCTGAGAGGGGTAGAGCCCAGTTGACCTGCTGGCCAGTGCTGGCCAGAGAACTGGGACCTGAAAGCCAGCGGCCTTCTGAAATAACACAGACCCAGGCCATGAGGACTGTTAATGTTCCCTCTCCTAGGGGTGTCACTCTCTCTGTGGCCAGAGGGACCCTGTGCATAACGTTGTTCGGGATTGAAGGACAGCTAGGATGTGCTCTAGAGACCCCTAGAAGCTAACGCTCCCTCGTGGAGGTGTTCCACCAGCATTCCAGGTAACTAGGTGGCAGTTCACCCTGAACACCAACTCAGAATGTAGTGTGTGACCTAGTGGAAGACTGTCCCCTGTGTTCTGCTTGGAAGACATCCTTCCTGGCTTTACAATCCATCGCCTCCCTGAAGGGGATGGAACTCCTGATGGCGAGGGCCCGATTCAGGGCATTTCCCTGGATAGAGCTGAGATCTCTAAAAGAACATGACAGCCATAACTCAGGCCCTGGCACTGCCAAGTGTTTATTTCCCTCATAATTTACTTTGAACACTGGAGTGGCTAAGGAGCCGAGGCCTGTTAGATCGCCCTGGGTTTGGCTAGAGCTTGCCGGGGTCTTCCACATCAGGCCCCAGCCACGTCAACCTGTCTTCTGCCCCGGAAAGGCTGGACAATCTTATTTCGTCACAGAACGCTCTAGGGACCGGGTAGATTTAGGTCTCTCCCTGCTGGTGAGATCCTGCTCTTCTCTTTCTTCTGAAATGGTTTCACTGTGTGTGCTGTTCTGTCCTTGGATTTGCCGGCTTCCTGTCTCGGCCTCCAGCGTGCTCACAGGTGTGAGCCACCACACTTTTCTTTAGCTTTCCTCTTCTAGCAAGGATGGTGCACACAGGTCCCACATACGTCCAGCTGATCCACGTCTGTCCTGCTCTGTATCTTCCGCTCTTACCTGCTTTCACAATTTCTGGGTTTCTGGATCACTCCTTCAAGGTGTCAGTGGCCGCCCAAGGTCACTGGGTACTTGAAATGTGGTTAGTTCAAACTTAAACATGCTTCAGATGTAGACAAGATCTCTGGATATGGGCTGGCTAGTTTTATGTCAACTTGACGCAAGCTAAAGTCATCTGAGAGGAGGAAACCTCAGTTAAGAAAATGCCCCTTAAGACTGGGCAGTAGGCAAGCCTGTAGGGCATTGTCTTAATTAGTGATTGATGGAGGAGAACCGGGCCATTGAGGGTGCTACCATCCCTGGACTGTGGTCCATGGTCTCTGGTTCAGCTCTTGCCTCCAGACCCCTGCCCTGCTTGGGTTCCTGTCCTGACTCCCTTCGATGAGGAACCCCTTTCTCCCCAACTTCCCAACTCTTTGGTCAGCAATAGAAACTCTTAAGAAAATGCTTTCCGATTGTTTCTTTCTCCTCCCCACCCCCTTCTTCTTTTTAAAGGCTCATGAAAAGGAATGTAACGTCTTGGCACGGAGATGTGGCTGAGGGCAGAGCATCCGCCTAGCGGTCCCGGGTTGTTATCTGTTGAGTTTTTTATGTGTTGAAATGAGGGTAGTTTAGGTAGACTGGGTTGAATAAAATCGCTAATCTTTTCCCGTTTCTTTTAAAATAGTCTGCACGAAAGTTTTAAAATATGTATGCATCTTGTCTGTGTGGCCCGAATCCTGTCCTCGGGGACAGGAGGGGCTCTGTCCTGTTCTAGACACTGGATGAGCTGTGATGGATGCGTGGTTCTTTCAGATCAGCGGAGAACTCGGTGCTGGTGGGGTACAGAGAAGCCGCCTGACCCCAGCCTCCACCCTGACCTCTTGCACCTGGTGAAGGAACACTGCTAGCCAGAGAAGACGTAACTGGGACCCACAGCGGAACTCTACCCCCAGGGCTCACCCAGAAGCCTTGACTGAGGAGCGCTGACTAGCTGGAGGATGCAGAGGCAGGGGCAGTGCAGGAAGGAGGCAGCCCAAACAAAGGGTCGTATCTTGGTTTTTGGTTCTTTGGGGCAGGGTCCCGCTATGTAGCTCTGGCTGACCTGGAACTCACTGTGTAGACCAGGTGGTGACCCTGCTGGTTTTCAGAGTGGGGTGCTCGTGCCCTTTGCCTGCCCTGACCATCTGTCTGCCAGCTGCCACACTCCTCACTACCTTTGGGGTCAGTGATGGGGCCCAGCCAACAGAAGTCGGGAACTGAGAAGGGGCTAAGCAGGGAGACGGAGGATCTGAGAGACAGGAGCGCTGGAGAAAGTTAAAAATAGGATGATCCAGCCCAGAGCAAGGAAATGGGGCAAGCCTTGGCTGTGGTGGATGACTGACAGACAGGTGGAGAATGACTCGTGCCTCTCTTCAGGGCCCTGAATGAGAAGAAGCCACCATGGGCCTCTAGAGATACATTAGATTTCCTCTACCCTGGGATCTGGGATGCCAGAGCCCAGAGGACCAGCAGGGGTCTAGATTGGATGTAGCCCTGTGCCCAGGTGGCTACAGTCCTGGACCAGTGCCAGTTCCTGCATCCCCATGCCTGCTGCATTTTCTCCTCTGTCCTCCCCTCTTTATTCCCCCCCCCCCCCAACTCCTCCCTGGAACCTCGGTCCTCCCAGTAGTGGCTCTGCACTCCACGCCCTTTCCCCAGTCTGTCTGCCTCCAGAGTGGGGTTACAGCAAGGGCTCCAGCTTCACACTTGGTCTTTTGGCCAGTGATGGTGCCATTGAGCCAGTGTTACCCAGCCAGGCTCAACGGAACAAAGATAAGTGTCAGATACGTCAGAGGCTTCTCTGGCTTCCGTAAGTAAGGAATTAAGTCCCAGTGTCCGTGGCCCTGGACTCCCCCCACCCTTCATCTCTAATTTTGCTTGTTGGAAAGCAGAGGAGGGGTACAGTGTCATTGCTGGGACAGCGAGGAAGGGAGGATCTAGCTCCACCCACTGCCAGCTTCCTCACTGAGGGAGGGAAACCACACCCCTTCCTTCTACTTCCCTCCCTGGCCTAGGTGCTGTTCCGTCCCCAGCACTGGAACTGTCACACTCCAGAGTCTGTGTGGAGAGGATTGATTGACAGGAACGGTCACTTACAGAGAGGAGAGACACGGGTCGGTGTGAGCTCCATGGAAGCCCAGAATGTGATCTTTAATGTGGGCCCCTGGCCCTGTCTCCCCACCCCAGCCCAGATGACATATTTACAGGATGTGTAGGAACCCAGGTCCAGGCCAGGTGAATGCAGCCCCCCTCCCCCCATTTCCTCCTGGGTGCTGCCAGGCCAGGCACTGCTGGGGTGGGACAGATCACGGGAATCTTGTGTTCTTCATGTCCCCACCAAGGACACACGGACACATGTGGTCATGCCCTTGTATGCAGAGGCCTTCACAGTGGTACAGGGGTGTAGATCCACATGCCTGTGCCCAGGTGCACTGCCATCTGTGTGCAGGTGTGTCACCTAACGGAGGTCGCAAGGCATTCTAGCAACAATGCAAAATCCAGCCTTTTCCCTAGTGGGGCTGGTGGCCTCAGTCTGTCTTGTTGTCCCAGGACAGTGCCAGCTGGGGCTCAGTGCTGAGGACCCCACTGTAACCGACACCATCTGGCCATCCCAAAGGCTACCAACGGGTCCTAGGCTCCAGGGTGCCGCTGGGGCGGTCTAGAGAAATGAAGCCTTTTTTGTTTGCTTTGTTTTCCATGAGCCTTCCTCAAAGAGGCCTCAGAAACAGGGTGAACACAAACGGGCAACTCTCTGGCCCTGGGGTATCCAGAGCCACTACTTAGCCTGAGTGGGGTGTCCCCAAGAAGGGGGCTCCTTTCATTTGTGGCTTTCATCCATAAGGGAGCCTGCTCCGTCCTGCCTGTCCAGCTGGCTTTAAGGGCAAGAGGCCAGAGCTCATCCGTCCCACATGGGGTCCTGAAGGCAGGCCACAACAGACTGCGTGGGAGGGCTGAGCACTTCTGCCAGCCTTGGCCTAGCTCTCAGGCTGGGCTGCAGCTAGGACCAGAGGACAGACAGGGGAACTTCTGTAAACTTACTACTCAGCCTGTGAGTAAAGGCTTTGAGCAGGGGACTGTGAAGACTTCCCTAACAGCCTGTAGCCAACCTTGAGGCTTGCCCTTTCCTGGTGTCTCTTCTCTATCACAGGCACCGACCCTGGGGGCACCAGGTCTCCCCAAGTCCTCCGTGGGAGCTAGCCTGCTCTGGAACAGCCAGGCCACATCAGGGGGCACTTGAACCCTGAGACAGCCCCAGAATCACCCTTCTTGAAAGGGGAAAGGTGCCATTTTATTTTAGGGACTATATTTTCTATACCCCCAAATGCATGCACCCTGGCAGGGACAGGACGGTTGGTTTGGAATCAAAGACAGTCCGGGACAGAGGGCCCCGGCACCCATGAACTAGGCAGTGGGCACAGAACAGGCAGCTTTGGTTTGAATCAGCACTCTGACTTCTTCTAAGCTGGGTGGAGGCGGGGCACACAGGGCTGCTCAGCCCCTGCTGGGTTCCAGTGTGGGCCTCCCAGAGAGGGCTGGGAGGTCGCAAGGCCTCAGGCCTTCCAGACCCTCCTGTAAGTGTCAGAACATCCCTACAACTGCCCCTGGCCCCAGCAACCCCAAGGTTACATTCATCAGATAAAATCCATTGGGGAAAAAAAGAGAAAAGAAAGAGAAAAAACGTGTAGATCAGCTCCTTCCCTTGAGGTCCCAGAGAGCTACCACCCTGGTTCCAGCTGCCCGCTTTTGAAGAGGGGCCACCCAGCTGTGTCCACTGGTGGCTACCTGGCCCCACCAGGCACGGCTCCAGGCCCCACCCTGAGCTGTGGCGGTCTGTGACGATGGACGCTACATTCACAGGGGGAGACCTGGGCAAGGCCAAAGCCGCATGAGGTGGGGTGGGGAACTGGGCAGGAAGTGCCCTCCTCCAGGCCCCTCCCCCCGGGTGGTCTGAAAGATGGGGGCCACTGTCCCAACCCCCAACCCCTGTGCAGCCAGGAGTTGAAGGGTTTGGACCTGGAAGACATTTTTGCATGGTGCCTCCCTCTGTGGCAGGGTGGAGGCAGCCTCGTGGTTCAGGGCCGAGACGGTGGGTGCCAGGCTCGGAGGGAGCAGGGTGGCACTTAGGCCCCTCCGGACCTGGAATGGAGAGAGGGCATCAGGAGAGTACAGGAGGCTGGGCCCTGAGGGAGAGCCCTCCAGATGCCCCCCCTCCTCCCCAGAGGTCCTGGAGGCATCAAGTCACAGGCTGGCCAGGAGGGGGTCTGCAGAGGTCAGACAGCGGTGGCATGGTAGACAAAACAGATGGGACAGGACGCAGAGGGAGACCCCCTCCTAGGGGCAGGGGTGGCGGGGGCACAGTTCCAGCGCCCACCCGGCCATGGGACCTGGCTGTAGAAAGGACAGCTGAAGGTGGACCAGGGCCCAACAGGCGGGTGGGCAGGAGGAAGGGCCGGGGCGCAGGCTGCCCGCCAGGCTGCGGGACTCGGACCATCCCAGCTCCAGGTCAACAGAATGCAAGGGGACGAATGAAATGGAGACAAGGACAGCGGAAGGGATGACGTGGCCGGCATCACACTGCCCCCTGCTGGGTCGGGTCGTACCTTCCTCGACGGATGTTTCTTCAGTTGCCAAGGAGAGGACAGGCGGGAGGTGGGGGGTAGAAGGGGGAGAGAGAGAGAGAGAGAGGAAAAGTTGTGTGAACCTCCTGTTCTCTGAAGGAATGGCCTTCTATCCCAGGAAGACCTTCTGCCCCACAAATGGACCATGCAGATCTTATCCAGATTGGTGGAGGGTTCAGGTCCTAGCTCTGTCACTAAGTCGCACCATGACCTTGGGCCTCAGGGTTCTTCAGGCGCCCAGTATGGTGTCTAGAGCAGACCCTAACAGCAATGTCCTGGAGTTCATGGGCTGAATGTGGATAGGGACTGGGAGACATCTCAGACAGACCCTACCCACCTCAGTAGTTACTGTAAAATCTGGTGTTTAACTGTTCAAACAAGTCCCTGTGGGCTGATGTTTTAAGTTCTGGGTAAGCTAACCGGTCATGGAGGCCATTAGACTCCAACAGTCTGGGGTGCTGAACCCCCAAGCACCTGGAGGGGAATCTAGGGAGTATGTGTCTCTTACTTAAATCCCCAGCCCGTGCCGCCCAGGACGATGGCTGCGACCAGGACAGCCCCGGCGATGGAGCCGATGATGATGTTGGTGCCACTGGGACCTGGGGAGGAGGGCAGGGCTTGGTTGGTAGGGACAGGCACGGAAAATGGGCGACAGGGAGCACACCAGCCGTCTTCAGCCTCACCTTTATATCTCTCGGTCTCCCCGGTTGGAGGGGATGTGGGCAGGGGGTTGTGGATGCTGCAGTCTTTGCCCGTCCAGTCTGCCTGACAAATGCACTTCCCTTCGTTGCTGCAAACCTACAGGGGAGGTGGGGCCAGCACAGGTAAGCAAGGCCCTGTGCGTCCCTGCATGAGCCTCCTCCAGTGTGCTACCCCTGGCCTTCAGACACCCACCCCGTGGTGGGAGCAGATGCGCCGGTCCCCGCTGCCCGGGCAGGTGCTGAAGTTGAAGGCAGAGGCTGGCAGGCAGCGATGGTCAAGGCACAGCATGTTGGGCCCGCAGGCTGTGCCGTCCTCTACGTAGCTCAGGTCTGAGCCATCGGCTAGCTGTACGTGACCGCCCCTGGAGAGATGGGAGAGTCAGTCTCAAGCCCAGTCCCCTAGTCCCCCTCACACTTCATCTTCCCAGCCACGGCCCAGACAACACCTGCAGTCCAGCTCCTTGCCCTGGTGGTAGAAGGTGACGCTGCTGATGTCTCCCCCCAGGTCCCCTAGCCGAGGAGCTCCAGAGATGTTGACGCAGAGAAGGAAGCCACAGAGCACATCCCTGTTGGGGCGCACGGGGACAATGAGCCCAGATTTTGCCTCAGACCTGTGTTCCCTCCCCTCTGGGCCTCACGGCTCTCCCTAGAGCAGCCTCCACCTCTGTAGATCCCGAGCCCAGCTCCAGGACGACCCACAGAGCCCAGTGCCAGGATGCCCCATAGAGCCCAGCACCAAGATGCCCCACAGAGCCCGGCGCCAGAATGCCCCATAGAGCCTAGCACCAGGACGCCCCACACAGATGGCTACTCACTGCTTATTGCACTGGACCCAGCCGGATCCCTTGCGCCCACAGTTCCCACGCTCTGTCCCCTCCACGTTCAGCTTCTCATAGCAGAAACGATCTGCAGCCGCTAGAGAAAGAGAGAGGAAACATCCATCACCCCACAGACTCCTGGGTCCCCTCTAGAGCGGCATCTCCAAAACTCTGCCTGATCCCTGGGCTTGATGCCCAGGGTTCTCAGAAGCCACACATGTTCAACCAGAAGCGACCCCAGCTCAGCTCTCAATTCTAGGTTCTTCCCCCAAACCTATGTTCCCCATACCCAGCTGGACTCACCATGGCCCCAAAGGGCTTGGCACTGCCGGTCCCGGGTTTTACAGCGGCCTCCATAGCAACGGCCCTATGACCCATAGGAAACAAAGTATGAAGACACTGGAGGATCAGAGTGGAGACGAGGCTGCAGAGTTCAGACAGAAGGACCCCCTCCCCCGGGGGGGCCCCATCCCTCATACCTGTTCATGATCACAGTAGTAGCCATCCAGCTTGTGAAGGTTAGGGGGACACTGTAGAGAGAGGGGCTGGCTGAGCAGGGTAGCCCAGGCCTGAGCTATCTGAGGTACCCGGGGAAGAATGTAGGCAGCAAATTCTTCCCAAAGGGGCCTCGTGTTGCAAGGCTCTTCCACATCAAAGACAGGGGCCTATTTGGCTCTGAGGATTTGACTGGTAAATCCCTAGGCTTTTGCCGGCTTTTTCAGTTTCTTGCACCCATTACCCTGGAGGCCTGAGATTTAATTAACCAACGTTACTACCCACTAGATCCCTCGCGTACACTAGACACTGGCTCTAGGCAGTAGGAGTACCAGCCTGACTACAAATGCTTGTTTAATGACCGAAGGAACAGAGCTAGGATGCTCGAAGGACCCCCTTCTCAGAGAAAACAAACAAACAAACAAAACGCTGAGACTGGTTAGCGGCGGTGTAGCCAGCGGCTAAGCAGAGAGGGCCAGAGAGGGGCAGAGAGGAGTCAGCTCTTCAAACCCAAACCTATAGGGGAAGGGGCTGTCTTGCGCGACAGGTTTGGCAGACCTGGCTTGAGTCGCCGGTGCAGGTCTCTGCGATGTCACACTCATTCACCGCTTCTCGGCAGGAGACACCTCGTGGCTCGTACTAGGAAAAGCATGAATGTATTTTTGGAAAGGATAAATATCTCGCCGCTGCCCTCCCAGGGTATTCTACTGTCCTCCTGGAACCTGGCTCCCAAGGCCAGTTTCTTATTTCCTGTCCCTCTCCGCCCTCAACAACTAAGGGTAACTTCCCGCGTTCCCCCATCACTCCCCAGACCTGGCCCACCCAACCCCCTGCACCGTTGACGCTTCTTTTGGGGTAAGCCCCGCCCACACACACTGCTCCTCCTCCCTCCCGCCTCTTGTCTAGGGCATCCAATCGTTTCTTTGCTCCTGGCCCCACCCTCCTTCCCGTGCTCTCTTGGTCCTTCTCACCTTGCAGCGGCGACAGCAGAGCCCATCGCTGCACATGGCGTCGTGAGTCAGGGTGCACTTCTTGCAGCAGTTGCCACCCGCCCGGCTGCACTCCTGAGAGGAGCGGGGAAAAGCGGGAAGGCGGGCGAGCCCTTATCCTTGATCCTCCCCACTCGGTACTCTCCCTTCCTAGAGCCCGGGCCCACACCGGAGACCGCCCAGACCGCTCACCTGCACCGAACCACAGTCGCATTCCTCCCCCGCCTCCACGAAGCCGTTCCCACACTCGGGAGGGTCCAGGAGCTGAATGAAGGGGAAGGGGATGTCGGGAGCCTGGCTGGGACCCTGCCCACCCCATCTCCACCCCGCTTCCCGGCTCTCCGTGCTGGTACCTTGAGGGGCTTGTTGAACAGGCAGCTCCCGCCTCCCTCCTGCAGAAACTGATTGTATTCGTCGATGCTGCAGCGCGAGAACTTGCGGGGCAAGTAGAACCTGGGCAGGTGTGAAGGGACTGTGCTGCTGGGGGGCAGCCCTCCAGTCCTCCCGTGGGGGACTTGGTTATCACCACAAGGAGGCTGAGGAACTGCCCGGTGATTGCACGACAGTCAATCCCACATGCCCATGTAGGAATGGGTGGAGGACACCACTTGGCGCTCGCTTCACTGAACGTTTGGGACCGAGAGCTCAGTGTGGAAACGCTCCGAGGGACCGCAGCTCGCACGAGGCCCGGGCGCCTCCCAGTGGCCAGAGAGCGCGCTGCAGTCTAGCCAATTTGGGTGTCCTCGCCTCCCTACGCTGTTTGCAGATATGTATTCTTGGAATCCTGAATGGTCTCTTGAAACCACCTATCCAGACTGCCATTGCTCCCCAAAACCCTTCCCCAAGTCTTTCCCCAAGAACTCACCCAGTGTCTTCCATGATGCAGCCCAGCCAGATGTCTGGACATTTGCAGTCCCCTATGAGGTAATTTGGGTACACATGAGATAGGGTGACCCCTCTACACTTCAGGAGGGGCTGGGTGTGTCTGACACGGCTGTAGGCTTCAGGGTCGGTACCTGCCGAGCTCCGGTGTTTATTCCACATCATGCCCAAGTTCTGCCCTAGCGTTTGGGCCAGGGTCACTGCCATAGCGCCCATGTTGCCGTACTAGTGGGGGAAGATGGAGCACAGGATGTCTACATCCTTCCGGTCGCCGCTGCGTCTTAGCAAGCTGCCCTCTTGGCCTCCCAGCCTTGACCCTCTGCTCACCTCGTTCACGCCTCCACCCCGGGACAGCGAGCAGATGCCCCCCACGTAGGCTGCCCCACTGCTGGTGCTCTGGAAGGTTCTACCCCTAGAAGGGAGAGAGGTGTCAGGAAGGCTTCGCAGAAGTAGCAGTGAGTCCCAGCCCATCACGTCATCCTGGTGGTCTCACACCAGCCCCCTTCTGTTTGGGTTCATTCACCCGGAAGTCAAACCAGAGGTCCGAGGGCCTCGAATTGTGCTCGTCCCTCACTAAGGTACTGGGTTGCTGAGGTAGGGATGCTGGGCAGTCTGGCAAGAGAAAGGCAAAGAGCACATCCCTTGCCCAGCCTAAGAGGCAGAGGACACTCAGCTGGTACATGAGGCTGGGAGCAGGTGTCAGGTGCAAGGCAAGCCCCACCCGCAGACACCGACTCCGCAAAAGTCTCCTGACACAGGCAGTCAGAACAAGCCAGCCGGCAAAAACTGGCAGGGTGTTGCGTGGGGACTCACGAGAAGAGGTGGGTGGCATCACTGGGCTCAGGTAGACCCTCCCGCCGGTAGACCATAAGCCGGGCCAGGGTCTCCAGTAGGTCATCCTGCACCTGGATCTTGTCGCCATCTGCCCATGTTTCCATGGCAACCAGCACAATTCTTGTGTTGAGCTGCTCCTTGTATATCTGGGCCCAGAGAGATGAGGGGGGTCTGGAGGGAAGGTGCAATCTATATTCTCAAGAAATGGGGGCCAGTGACTGACAATGACCCCTGAGTGTCTGGCTGTGTGGTGGGGGAAGGAAGAGGAGAGGGGAGCAGGGGTGCTGCTTACCACATCTGCCAGGTTCACAACAGACTTGGCGAAGTTGCTGGTGAGGACCACCGACTGCCGCATCTGCTCGAACTGCCGAGAGAGGTGAGGAAGAAGGCGAGGCTCCCCTGGGCCTCTCCTCCCAGGGTCCCCCTCAGCCTAGGAACTTACCAGCTGGTGGTCGTTGATGACAATCAGCTCTACATACTTGGTCTCGCTGTGCACCGTGGGGTGGCCCCTGCGGACCTGGAGGGCGGGTGGGCACTTGGAATCAGTCCCCTCCACGTCTGGGCTCAAGGCCAAACCATGGGCAGACTTGTCAGGAGGGGGCATTCTGGTCTCCAGTCAAGGACAGTGCCAGCCCCTAACTGGCAGAAAATACCACCCCTCCCAGCCTGGAAATGAGGGCAGAGGACATACAGTATCTGAGGGTCCCCAAAATGGGGACCTGTGTAGACACCACTGTTAGGGAGGAGTTGAGGGGCCCTTCTGGGAAGTAGTTCCCTGGCTCCTGGCCCCATGGCTCTGAGGTCCTCTTTGCCCAGCCATAGGTGGGGATGACCTGCCCTGGACCACAGTCTAAGGTCTCTGCAGCCCGAGGCTATGCGGGCCCCGTACCTGCCTTTTCCTTCTCAGCCTGGGCCAGGTGGGAGGATCAGACTGGCCAGGGACAGCAAATAGGCAGCCTGTGGGGAACAGTAGGTAAGAGGGGCCCAGCTGTCCAGCCCCACCCGCTTCCCCTCCCTTACCTGGTTCCCTGCATCCGAGGGGGGCTGGGAGGAGAGGGGTCCGGTAAATGAGGTGGGGAAGGGGTCCCTGCAATGAGGGGAATGAGTTCTTGGGGAGCCAACCAGGTCTGCTCTGGGCCCAGATTGGAGGCAGCTCCAGCCCTTCCCCCACCCCACCCTGGGGTGACCCAGAACTGGCCAGAGCTCCCATGTCGGATCTGATCTCCTAGATGCTCAGATTCCAGGGTCAAGACCTGGGGGTGCCCTGAGAGACAGGGGCAAAGGACACTGGAGCCCAGGGAGAGGTCACTTGGGGGACAGAGGGGACATTGGAGATGGGGGCACAGAAGGCAGGACCCAAAGCTGGGGTCACCCAGGGCAGTGAGGCTGAGGTTACTGCAGGGGAGGAGGAGGCACCACAGCTGTGGGGGTGGGGGAGTAGTCCCAGCATGTACAGCCGTCAGGAGGGCAGGAAGGCCTGGGCAGGCTTGGCTTACCTGTGGGGGTCCCCATGGCCCAGCCATCTCCTTGGGCTCTATGATGTAAGTCAGGTTTCCATCAGAGAAGACCCCACTGTGGAGACAGGCAAGGTTCTGCTCCATCCTGGGCCAGGTAGAGCCCTTCCCCCACCCCACTGCCCAGCGCCTCCCCCGCCACACTCACTGCAGCCCCTGGCAGGTGGAGAGAGCAGCGAAGGAACTTGGGTTGCCTCGGAGTTTCCCGTGGTAGTAGCAGTGGTCTCCAGCCCCCTAGGGAGCAGCGGAGCTGTGAGTGAGGACACCCTGGCCAAGCACAGGACTAGGAGCACCGGGGGATCTAAGCTGCTGGGCCTGCTAATTCCTCTGTCACTGTGAACAAACTCCTAACACTTTCTGGGTCAGCTTCGTCTACCCCTTAAAATGAGGACATTGGGCCACAGCAGCAGCTCCTGGCTATTTGTTGGGGCTGGTGAGGGATCCCAGTCTCCTCTGAGACCAACAGATGGCTCTTACATAGTACCTGCCATACGCCGGGCCTTGTGCGGAGCGGTCACATACAATGTGTCATTTAACCAGAACCTGCTGTAGATGCACCCCCAACCCTGGTGCAGGAGCTCCCAGTCACATGTGGTCTGCAGCTGAGGGACTGTGTCAGCATGGGTTCTCCTGACCCAGCTCATAGGTCAGAGGGGACCAGTCACACCCGCCTCTCCCAGCTCCGCTTCCTGGGAATTACTTGTGCTCCAGTTCCAGAACAGGCTTGGGGGGGGGGGGAGCTATTTATAGACACTCATTCATCTTTGTTCAGGCTCCAGGGCCTCCAGGACTGGGACCCTAGTGTGGCAGGCATCCGGGACTCCCAGGGCAAGAGGAGGCATTTTGATCTGCTGCTCAGGGGAGGGCGGAGCTCTTGCCTAAGATGCACAGGGCCCTGGGTTTGATCCCCAGCACTCCCTAAGCAAGGGAGGGGTTGTCATTCCAAAACTCCCTCCCAGGAGATTCTGGGGATATAGCTAACACGGCATAACAAGGACCCAATTACACCTTCGTGCAAGGGAGGAGGCTGAGGAAGTCAGACCTCAGCCTGAATGAGGGGAGGCTCAGGGACCCACATCACCCAGTCAACCTGCCCTTTCTAACTGCTGATCCCCCAAGCCTCTACGGTGGGGAGGGATGGGAGGTCCCCAGACACCAGGCCATGCTGAGTGTGCCCTTGACATACCTCCACCAGCCAGCTCCCTGTCCTCCCCAGTTCTCTGTGCTGGGGTTCTGAGGATCGAAGCCCCCCACATGCCAGGCCAACCCCCCCTCTGATTCATACTTCTACCGCCCCACCTTGGCACCCATAACCATGGAGCAAGTGCCTCTGTCCCACTCGGTCCCTTCCAGAGTCACTCACAGTGCTGTGTTGAGTTGTCCCCTCCCGGCTGAAGTGGCGTTCCACATACTGGGAGGATAGAAGGTGGCTGAAACAGCAGGAAGGAGGGTCACTTGGTGAGGCCAGGCCCTGCTTAGGTCCCACTCCAGCTAAGAATACAAGTCCCTTAGTACCCCCCGCCAGCCAAGCCCCACTGCCCGCTGCCCTCTGCCCACCCTCTGGCTCCAGGCTCCACTCACTGGTTTAGCTCCAGGTCCAGGGTGAAGTCGGAGTCGAAGGCTGGGATGACGAAACTCACCTGGGCCAGGTGCACGGGCTGGCGTGGGGAAGGGCAGAGAGGAGTCAGCTTGAAGCTGGGGTGGGGAACCCCAGAGGATACTTGGGGAGGGGCAGTCGAGCTCCAGCAGCTGAGGAGACCCCTCTCGGGGGTTCTTGTGCTCTGAGAGCCCATTCCTTTCCTGGGTATAGCTGTTCAACCTGACCACAGCCCACCTTCCACCCAGGTCCCGAGAGCCCTCTGGCTACCTTCTGGGTTAGTCTCCTTAAGAATCATGGCCTCATGCTAGGTTCTCAGAGCTGTTGGTAGGGCCACCCCATCATCACTGGAATGGAAGGGAGCCCCTAGACATTCCACAGAAAGGCGGAAGGGTCCCCAGCTTATGGGTGGGCAGGGGAAGGGAAGCAGGCCCCAAGCCCAGTCTACAAAGGACGACTTGGGTTCTCAGACTCATGGAGCAGGTGGGAATTGACCATGGGGCCCTGATGCTGGACAAGGGCAGGTGCCACTTTGAAGAAGGGTAGAGCTCCCTCCCATACAGCACCAGCCCATTGCCCTCTGCCTGCCCAAAGCAGCTCATCTTTAATATTTCAATTCCACAGTTAATTTTTAAACACGGAAGTTTTCCTGATAAATTTTTCAAAGGGGCATATGCAGTGGGGCTGGGAGGTTCCAGGTTACCATGGCAATGGACTAGGCCTGAGCAAGATGGCTGCCCTCTCTGCCTGGGTGCCCAGCTGCTTAGTGGGTAGGGGTGGGAAAATAGAGACATCAAAGACTGGAGGGAAAGCTTCACCCCACTCCCAGAGAAGGGCAGCGGAGCTTGGGCTAAGGGGGAGCTGGTCTGAGAGTTACAACCACTTAGGGGACACACCCGGGGCCCAAGCCCCACCCCAAGCTGGCAACTCGGCTTTGGTCTCCCAGAACACTTGGAAAGGTCTGTGGGCTGAATTCAAGGGTTGGAGTCTGCCTCCTACCCCATCTATTTAGGAGGGTGGACCTCAAGAGTCAGGCAAGAGCCTTGCCACTCTCTCTGTCCAGGTAGGAGTGTCTATTCTTTTACTTTCCTTTGTATTGGAGAGCACCTTGCAGGACGAGAACCCTGATACTAAGGTCAACGGGTTTCCCAGCCCATGCCTAGTTGACTCCTCTACCACCTAGCCACAACTAATCCATTCTGAGCACTGCACAGGGCCCATGTAATGGTGAACTGCTTAGGGTCATGCATTGGTCTGAAACCCTTTATGACCACTGCTATATTTGATCTCTCCAACAACCCCGTGGGACAGCTGCTCCTGTCTTTCCTGACAGCTGGGAACCAATGCACAGAGACACTAACTGGTGAGACAAGGCCACACAGGTAAGAGGCGTTAATGCCCTGTGTGGTGGTGCAATCCACAATCACAGTACTTGGAGGATGAGGCAGGGAGATCATGAGTTTGAGGCTAGCCATAGTTCCAGGTCAGCCGTGGCTCCACACTGAGACCTTGTCTCCCAAACAGAAAAGGAAGAAAAACAACAACAACAACAACAAACAAAACAAGGCTGATATACAACCTCAGAGAATATATAGATATCTAAGGTCTTTCTTCTACAGAGATGACAGGAGATGGAAGTCGGCCCAGAGGCCTGGGAGGCTCTGGGAATGTGGGCAAGGAGAAGTCAAAGGCCAGGGCCTGGGAAGACAGACCTGTGAGCCCAAGGACATAGACTCACCCCATCCCAGGCCATCTGAGGTTCCAAGCTCCACCCCAAGCCCCCAGAGCATCGATCAGACTCAAAATAGAAAGCCAAGGGCAATGAGTTCTTGCTGCCTCCCCCCCAAGCCCTTAACCTGGCCAAGTCTGTTGTCCCCTCTCCTAGGCCTGTCTTGGCTCTGGTCCTCGCTCCTGCACCTCTGCCAGGGCATCTCTGGACGGCTTCTGCTTGTCTGTCTGTCTCTATCCTGCCAGCCTGGAGAAGTTGCTTTCCAGGCCCCTTCCCTTGATCCTGTTAGGGATGGCCCAGAAGCCTCCCTGAGCCCCAGATGTTCCCTCTGACGAAGGCAAGGTGAGTGCAGGTCAGAGCTGGGAGGCTGGCTTTGCAAGGGCCATGCTGATGCCATTGTGGGAAAAGCAGTGAGAGACGCCGTAGGGTTCTCTTTCTCCAATACCCTGCAGCCAGTGAGGCTCAGCCCCAGGACACACCACCCTTCTGCAGTGGACATGGGGCTCAGCCAAGACAATACCGGCCATGAGGGGGATCTGTACAGGCAGTGGGAGCCAGCTGAGAATTCAGACACCAAGGCATGTCGGCCTGGCCCAGCTCAGTCCACTCCTGAAAGGGAGCACCTGATAATGCAAGCCCAGAATACCTCAGGCACTGGGATGCTGGCTCCAGAACCTGCAAGTCCCTGTCAAGCTTTTGGCCAGTGCTCTACCAAAGCCAGTGGTTCTCTGTGCCAGGCTGGCCCACTGTCCCTGCAGCAGCCACAGCCCTGCCTCCTCCCATTACCTTCAGTCCCCAGGGCCTTCCAGACATGAGGTCACAGCAACTGCACCCCCATGCCCCAGCCTCTCCTGCTTAGGACTGCTCTGGACTGGACATGACCCCATGCCCCGCGTTTGCCTCTTACGTCTTGGCGACCGTGGCACTTAGGTGCTGTGTTCATTTGATCTCACCCTGCCTGGGCTGGCAGGTCCACAGGGAGCAACACCAGATGGTGACAGGCCCAGGGTCATGCTGGGGAGGTGCCAGGCCAAGTCTCACTCCTGGGCTGGAGGCTGTGTCTGCATGCCAGCTGCGGTGACCTGGCAGGTCCTTCCTGCGTCCCAGGCACCTGCTTCTGGCTGCCCAATGCCTCACTTCCTCCGTGCCCCCCAGCAGGTTATAGAACAGAGAGGAGGACAGCCGTCTCTGTCTCAGACTTCCAATCTCCGTGGTAGGAAAGGGGAGGCTAAAGACCACCAGAATTCTAGGGTGCTCCAGAAAACTTGAGTTGCAGAGTTCTGCTCCCCACAGCCTCCAGGTACTGCCCCCTCAGTACTCTGAATCCCATCTCCTCCAGCTCCTCATCAGCTGAGCCAATGCCTGCCAGTCCCCAGAAGGCTCAGCCCACTCACAGATCTCAATCTCTAAGTGTCCAGTTTTTCTATTTCTTTCTTTTTTGTTTTGTTGATTTTTCAAACAGATTTCTCTGTGTAACAGTCCTGACTGTTCTGGAACTCACTCTGTAGACCGGGTTGGCCTCGAACTCATAGAGATCCGCTGCCTCTACCTCCTGAGTGCTGGAATTAAAGGTGTACACCACCACTGCTTGACTTAAGTATCCAGTTTTTACACACACACACACACGCACAAACACATAAATACACCACACACAGACATATGCACATATACACTTACACACATGCACACACACACATACATAATCACTAATTCACCTTTTAATGACCTTTAGTCCTCTGGGGCAAGGGCTATTGTTCCCTTTCCCCCATCTAAGTGCTCAGCACTCATTGGGGTGGATGGACAGTATAAGACCTAAGGAGCCATTCACCCCTATCCTCAGTGTCTCTATGGGTAAAATGGGGTGTCACAAGCATGGTATGAAGCTCAACTAAACACATCATTACAGTCAGGGTCAGTAACTGCAGTATGGAGGACCTCCGCAGCCTGACAGCTGAACGGGGCTTCGAGGGTAAAATACTTCCTTTGTTTCCCTCCTGCGATGGGGACAAGAATGGTGGCTTTGTGTTCCGGATCTGCTTGGAGTGATTTACCTGTGAGGGTCTCACTGCACTCTCTAAGCTTGGAGACACTACCACCTCTTGGGACTGGCGACAGCAAATGGAGAAGGAGCCCCTCATCCTACAGCAACCCCCTGCCTCAGCAGCCACCAGCAAAGGTGGAAAGGCCCATTCATCAACAGGGCAGCAGGCCACAAACAAGAACAGGTGCACAGATTTCCGATGACTGGGCTTGACCTAAATTTTTGAGGACGGAGTCACCCCTTACAGGGTCATCAGTCCCTCTGGGGACAGACTCCGGACAGCTGGGCTCCTCGAGGCAACCGGGAGGATGCTTGGGTAAGGTCAGGCCCACAGGCTAGAGTCTTGTGGGAGGACTGCAGAGGTCACCTCTTCAACCCCCACCTGGAGCTGCACAGGTAATAACCCCCAGATGCCTTGTCCTTGACTTCCAGCCACTTTATTCCCATCAGAGAGCCACAATACTTCTCTGCCATACACAGCAAATCACAGCATGGCCTTGTGTCTGGGGGGCCTGTGTCCCTGACCTTGTCCCCAAGTCCGTCTTGCATGGATTGGGGCCTCGTTCACTTGCCCTCAACTCCTGAACAAAGACATACCACGGCAATGGCCGCTCTGGCAGTTAGTTCTTCAGTATGCTCTCCCAGTGACACCTGGTGCAGGTGAGAGTTATCAGCAGGCCTGGGACCCCAAGTCCTGACTTTGCTTGCTGCCCACAGCCTATCTTCCCTTTGGTCCCCCAAGGAGTCTGGGTTTCTCAGGGCCAGGCAACAGCTTCATGGGCTATGGACTCAGTCAGCTGACTTTCTCTGCTCAGATGCACTTAAGCAGTGAACCAACTCAACTGCACACAACGGTCCTCTTATCTTCCTCCCTTGTCCCTTAGCTACAGGCTCCCTCAGACCATGGCTTTCTAGGTTTTCAGGAGTTCTTGTTATCATCACCCTGAGTTTAGGAATTAGGACAATGAGACTCAGAAAGGGGGCATAAGAGCCTCCAGCCAGAGCAGGTTTCCTGTGGCCAGCACAGGCCTTACCCTGCATCACCGGGGATGGTACTGATAAGACCCAGGCTGCAGTGCAGTCCTCCCCTCCCCCCAGGAGAGGGTCTGGGCAGAGGTAGGGTACCTCCTGTTGAGTTCTGACTCTATCAGTCCTGCACTTCTGACCCTGGGAAGCAGTGCCAGGTGTGTGTGTGTGTGTGTGTGTGTGTGTGTGTGTGTGTGCGCGTGTGCGCGCATGTGTAGGGGGTTGCCAGGACCTGGTTCAGTCAGGGGACTTTTTGGACATGCATGTGTCCTCTGTCCTTCCAACCTGAACCTGGGAGAATTGGAGATGTTGCACCTCAGACCCAAATTCGGAAATTCCTGGGCTTGGAGAACACCACTCCTATCACCGGTTTAAGGTCTATCAACTTTGGGCAAGCCTGAGTCTGCGCTCGCTCTTCTGAAGAGAGGGGCAGAAAGAAGCATCTGTCTATGGATTAAACAATGCAATTAATATGTGTGCAGCACTCAGTAGAGAGCCTGGCCCAGAGGAGCCATGGCCTTGGCTTTTTACCTCCCCTACCCACCTGAACAAGTTTCTAGACTTTGGAAACTGAGGGATGGAGATGCCAGGGCCCCAAGAAATTCCTCTGGGGCAGATGCATGAGGTCCCTATAAAGGGTCTCAGGCCTAGAGAAACCTCCACTGGTGAACAGCAACCACAGAACTCTCCACTCCCACACCTCAGCTACTTCGTACGTGTTGGATTCAGTTGACTGCAGAGACCCAACTTCACACACATGCTAACCCACTTACCCAGCAGAAGCACATCCAAGGCGCCCAGCCCAGCCCCACGGCCCTGCCCCATCTCGCCTCATAGTCTGGGCCTGCTGTGCTAACAAGAACTAGCTGGAGGCACAGCCTACCCAGCCGGAGGCCCCCACTTTTCATCACCCATGCGACCCCACAACTTGGACATCCTGTAAAGCTCAAGCCAGAGTCTCAGGGGTCAGGCAGGGTCAAGTCCACTGGGGAGAGCTCAGTTCATAGAAAGCTACACTAGGAACCAGACAGCGGCCAGGTTACCCTAACCCTGGGCCTGGGACATCCCTGAGGCTCACTCAGCTTCCCACCCTGGGTGCCGGAGTGGGCACCGAAGCTGGCCTCTGCTCCCCGCTTATCCCTGTAGCAGCTGCCAACTCAGGACCATTAGCCCCCTCCCCTCTCTTCCACGACAGGGCCCTGAGCGATGGTCCATCTATTATGCATGCTCCTTCCTGCTCCAGTCCATTTCTCAGCTACTCCCCACCCCTGCACCCCCCTTGCCCCCCCTTTCTTAAGGGCTTTTAACCAAGTACATTAGGCAGGGCCAGACGCCAGTCTCATCGGTTCCCCTCCTCCCTCTGCCCAGCCCAATTCACCTCCCACCACTCCCAGCTGCCCCAACTTCTCCTCGTTGGGTTCACCCCTCTTTTGAATCTCTCTCCACCTCCTGTTCCTGCCGGGCTCCACTCTCCAGCCCTCTGCCGCCCCTGTTGGCCTGGCTAACTTTCAGCTTCAAGCTGCTGGAGAGCTCAGGCATGCTGAATGAATATTCCATCTGGGTGATTTTTGTTCGCATGAGCTTAATTAATTATTAATTGCACTTAATCTCCTTCATTCCTAACCTTCCTCTGGGAGGCAGGGGCCCAGCCGCTTGAAAGGGACAGGGCACAGGTAGAGCTGGCATTTGCAGATGAGTTCTGGGCCGCGGGGCATTTTTGCAAGGCCCACCTTCAGCTAGGACAAGAAGGCTAAGCCTGTGTGTGCCCAGTGGGAAACTGAGGCAGAAGTAAGCATCACACTGTTCCAAGAAAGTCCACTGAGGGTGGCTTTGGTGGGGCTTAGGAGCATGAGTCCCTGACTGGGCACTTAGCTGCATGGTGCCGCCCTGCCCCCAAGACCTGTTTTAGACAGAACCGCTGATTCTGGTGGGCACTAGGGACTGGTTGAAGGATGACCCCAAGCAAACTGAAACCTGAGCATGCCAGTGTCTATGGGTGCGCGGGGCAGGGGGGTTCCACAGTGATTGGAGGGGCCTGGAGCTGGAGAGTCCCCTCGTCTCCACTGTGAGGCTGCAGTCCTACCTGATGGACCACTACTCGGAAAGGGAGGCGGCAGAAGCTGCAGCCTCGGCGGGTGGCACCGAACCCTGGCTACTTGGTGGACTGGGAGGCCTCTTCCTGCTCCCTGACCTCACCACACAGCCCCACTCACCGTCCCCCTGGGAGGATCCTGGCGGACCCTGGTGTCCACTTGCTGCTTTCGGACCTCTCCCCCGGTGCTCTCCCTTACCAGCCGACTGGGCTCTGTGACCTCGGGGCCCTCTGGCCTCTCTGGGCTCCCCACCTGGGCTGAGCTCCTCCAATGCAGAGCTCCACTGGGACCCAGGGCCCCAAGACCTGAGAAGACAAGGCCATAGCTGCAGGCATATGCCCTCCATGGGGCAAAAGACTTGGGATGGGGGAGCACGCCCCAGCCCCCACTCGGTCGCAGCCCTTGGAGCCCAGTGGGCATACGGGTAGGTGGATCTAGCTGCCTTGCCAAGGGAAGAGCCCCACGGGGAGGGGGCCGAGAGCTTCATTCTGCCCAACAGTCACGACTGCCCCCCCACCTCCAAACCCGCAGAGACTTGCAGAGTCCGCCGGCCAGCTTCAGGGGGATGGTAGTGGTAGGGCCAGCAAGATCCGGACAGGTGGGTGGAAGCACCTTCCCTCCTCTCCCGCTCCCCTACCCTCCCGCGCTCGGGACCCGCTGTCACCCGGAACACTGCAGGAAAATGTGGCTGCAGCAGAAACCGCCGCAAAAGCCCGGGGCACGGGCCGACTAGGGGCGCGGGGGCAGGGACCAGGCGGTCAGGGTCACTTACCGGGCGGGGGGAGCAGCGGCAGCAGCAGGAGAGCCGCGATCGCCCAGCGCCGCAGCCGCCTCATGGTTCGCTCATAATCCTCCGGGTCCGGGGGCTGCGGCTGCGAGCGGCGCGGGGAGGGAGGGAGGAAAAGAGGGAGAGAGGAGGGCGGGGGCGGGCAGCGCCGGCGGCGAGAGGGCCGGGCGTGCGGGCCGGGCGGGGGTCGCGGGTGGGTGGCGCGGGGCTCAGCGAGCTCTGGCTGTGGCCATCCCGGCGGGGCCGCAGGGCCGGGTTAAGAGGCGAGCGGCGAGCACGTGAGCTTTGGGCCCGCCCCCCGCCCCCCAGCCGGGCCCGGGCCACCGCTGCGGTAGGACAAAGGGGGCACCGCCCGGGGACCCTTCTTCCCGACACTCCCTCAGCAGGTGCACCCCATCCTACCACCCCTCCGCAACCACCCCTTCGCTTAAGGATCTGCAACCCGTGGATTGGCAGGTGGAGGCTGGCCGGGTGAAAAGGGTCGTGAGCTCTAACTCTGGGAAGTCCCGTCTGGGGAATTGGGTGTGGGGTGTGGCAGATGATCCTGGCGCTCCTCCAGGGCTTAGTACTCTTGAATGGGGTACCCCAGCCCCAGTGCCTCTGCTGACAGAAGGTTGTAGCATTTGGTAAGAGAGGGCTCTGTGGCGTGAGGGACAGAGGTCCTCTTTGAACACCTACACACACACACACCTCGGTGCCTCCTTCAGGACCCCTAGATCATCTATAGCAGAGGTGCTCAATGCAGCCCTCCCACTCCCTGCCTAAATCTGCTCCCCAGGCTGCCTTCTCTTGACAAAGAGGCCCTGAGTTCCTCAGGTGGGGGACATTCCAATCCTTCCCCCTAAACAAAACACAAACTGACCAGGTCGTTTACATAAGACCAGCCTGCTTCCTTTGTTTCCTTTGTCGGGATCTTATTTAAGGAGCAGAAGTTACTTGGAGCCGCCAGATGTATACGTCTCTGGTCCGCTTAAGCTGCTCTGGCTATAAATTACTTGTGACCCACCTTCTCAGCCATGTCCCCAAGCCTCACTGCCCCAGCTGAGCCTTTAAACCCACTTCTTGGGTTTCTTGGACAAGAGAGATGCAATGTCAGGGGCTGGGATCTTTGACCTCTTGGAGAGATGGAAGAACTCAATACCTGGCTGAGATGTCCAGGAGCACGTGGGACATGACACGGGTCCCTGCCTCTGATTGGTGATGTCTGGCCTGGGGACTGAGTACGCATGGTTGTGTGGCTACCGCTAGGCCCCATTGTGACCTCTGAAGACCGTGGGCATTTTTATACCAATCCTTGGGAACCACAGGTGGCTAAGGAATAAGAGTGGAGACAGGAAACCCCTTCCTGGGTCCTCTGCTCCCTCAGGGCCTCTGCTGGGGACTGGGGAGCTGCCTCTAGCTTGTGACAGCACCCCCCACCCCCAGCTCTATTTTAGGCCCAGGAGAGGTGAGAAGGCGATTTCCCAGGAGGCACTGACATCAATGCTGGGAATGAGGTGACTTCCCCCTCCCCAACCACCTGCCTCTCCAGCCCCAGATGCTTAGCAAAACTGAGCAAATTCTTCCTTCCCTCTGGAAACATCTTGAAAATCTCCAGGATGCTTGGGTGAAGGGGCTTCTGGGAAGAGGGCCCTACCATGTGGTTTCCCCTCGAAACTCAGGTTTCCGAGATGGCAAGATTGTACACCCCGTTTTACAGAACTCTAAGTCCCCCAGCTGCTAATGAGAGGTGTGTGTCATAGGCAAGAGTCCCATTCCTCACTGGTTAAGCCTGTCCCCACCCCTGCCTCTCTGCAGATTCACAGGGGACTGGTACATATGATTCCTAAACTTCCAAGCCACTTGGTATGCCAGACCTGAGAGTGATGGTCCACCCCACCATGCGTCAGGTACCATGGCACACTGGCAGACCCTGACACAGTAAGCCTTCAGACAGACTAGGTGGGGCTTTTCCACAGTGGAGGGCCCTGAGGCTGAAATCTCCGTCTGTCCATCCATCTAGGCCCACACAGGGAGTCTGAATCCAAGGTTGAGTCACTGTAGTTTCTGACTCCGATACCTTTGCTTCTCCTGGGGAATCTTTCCTGGCCCTGAGCGACATTGTTTTTTTCTGGTGGCACCCTAAACCACTTTGGGTTCAATTGTATGACTCCTTGGCCCCCAAATCACTTATCTTTTGGGTCCCTGGTTCTTTGTGGACCCATTTTTTTTTTTTTTTTTTTTTTTTTTGGTTTTCGAGACAGGGTTTCTCTGTGGCTTTGGAGCCTGTCCTGGAACTAGCTCTGTAGACCAGGCTGGTCTCGAACTCACAGAGATCCTCCTGCCTCTGCCTCCTGAGTGCTGGGATTAAAGGCGTGCGCCACCACCGCCTGGCTGTGTGGACCCATTTGGATGTCTTGACTGTCCTATGACTCTGTCTCACTTCCCAAAGCAAGGTTCTGTCACCCATCTTGAGCCCTCTCAGCTCTGCTACAAGGTGTCTGGCCAGCCGAGCTGGCTTTGGATTTCCTTTCTACCCCCATGGGTCAGGAGCTATTTCTGTCTTCAAACTGGTGGCCCTCCTGTTGGGAACTTCAGAAAAACAGAGACGGTCTCCCCTGTTAGACAGGTTCCTGACAGAAGTTGCTGTTTTCTTCTCGCATTGGGACTTGCCCGTGCCCCTCTTTAGAGTTGCCTATGGCATCCCTACCCCAGTGCCACAGCTATGGCCTGCCACTTTGGCTTCCACCCAGCCAAGGGGTCTCCTTGGCTAACACCTCTTCTGTCCTTATGCCGCACCTGAGGTCCCATTTACCCTCATGAGAGGGAGAGGTCTACTCCCCTTTAGAAACTCCACACTAGGGGCCCTTCTCCATGTACCTTTTTCTGCTCTTAGGCAACTCTCTCCTCAAGTTTTCCTTGAAAAACTTGAGGGCCAAGATGGGTGGGTGAAGGGCCCAGATCTTGCTTTGGAAGCTTCAGGTAGGGGAGGTTGACATGTGACAACCTGGGCATGTGACAGACAGGGACTGCTGCTGATAGAGCCACTCTGGCCTGGTCCCCAGTCTGGAGCCTACACCATAGATTGGGTCTGTCCAGGGGACAGAATGAATGATGAAGGGGATAAGAATAGGCCTTGAGTGTTAATTTATTTAAATACTAAGAGTTCAAGGCCAGCCAGGGCTAGTGAGCCCTTGTCTCAAACAAACAAAAATATTATTGGAGCCAGACGTGGTGATGCCGTTAGTCAGTTGGATCGCTATATATCAAGTTCCAGGCCAGCCAAAGCTACATAGTGAGACCCTGTCTCCAAAAAATAAATAAATAAGGGACTAGGCCTTGAGGCTCTAGATTGGGATCCCAACCCTGGTTCCCTCATGTATTCATATTTCACCCTTCTGCCTCCAAGCTCACAGGCTTCAGAGACAGACAGACAGACAGACAGACAGACAGACAGAGTGAGCAGCAACAGCTGAACTCCATGCATTTACAGAGTCTGAGGCATAGAAGAGGGTTCGTTGACTGGACCAGAAATAGAGGGGTGAGGAAGAAGCAGCTCCTTGTACCTGGTGGAGCACCCATGGGCCTGGTGGAGCACCCGTGGGCCTTGTGGAGCACCCGTGATCCACAGGCTTGCAGGCCTCAGAGACCTCTCTGCACATATAGCTAGGATGGCATGGTTCTGAAGGGTTGGGACCAGGAAGTGCTGTGGCACTTGGACAGGAAGTTCATCTTGCTTCATCTCAGACCCAGCCCAGGCAGACTGCTCTTCTCCTTTGGGCAGCTGCCCCAAACCTGCTGCTCTCATTCCAGTGGCTCTCTGGGAACCTCTGCAGCACTCGGGCCTTATCCAGGGAGAAGGAAGCTGTTCCAGGATCCCCAACACACCAGCCTGTGAGGGACTTACAATCTCAAAGGTTCAACTGTCCCTTTTCTTCCCTGGAGACTGGAGACAGCCTCAAGAGGACCTGGGACAAGAGTGACAGTGACCCTTAGCAGCCTTAACCACCTTTTATTTTTTTAATATTTTATTTTGAGAGAGTCTCATCTCAGAAATCCTTGGCTGGCCTCAAACTTGCCATGTAGCTGAGGATAACCCAGAACGCCCACCTTTTAAAGACTGGGATTGTAGGTGTACACCAGCACTCCTGGATTGGACAGTGCTGGGGCTTGAACCCGTGGCTTTGTGTCTGCTAGGCAAACACTCTAAGGATTGAGCTATGTCCTCAGTTGTTCTTCACCTGCCATTTATACCATAGACATGGATAGAGGTTGTAAGACAAGAAAAAGCCAGTCTAAGTGTGTGGAGGGAAGAGTCCACGCCAGTCTGTTGAGACAGTGTGCCAAACACCTCACACGTGCAGTTTGGGGCTTTTCATTTCCTGATGGAACTACCACGACTTTCATTTTCTTTTCTCTTTTTTTTCCTCTTTCTTTCTTTCCTTTTCTTTGTTTCTTTCTTTCTTTTCTTTTTGTTTTTCAAGACAGGGTTTCTCTGTGGTGATCCATCTGCTTCTGCCCCCCAAGTGCTGGGACTAAAGGCCTGAGCCACCACCGCCGGGCGACCTTCATTTCTCAAAGCTTATGGAGTTATGAAGCAAGACCTGGACTTAAACTTAGGTCCAGGTAGCTGCAAAGCTCATAATCAGGGCTCCCAGGCACAGTCAGACGCAGTTCAGTGGTGCTGCAACTGTCCAGCATGTGCAGGTCTCTAGGACGAAGCCCAGGGAACACTAAGGGACAGCCACAGAGGCTGAGTGGACCCTGGCGAGAAGATCTGGACCTCACTGGGCTAGACAGCGGCTGGAGGAGGGACAGCGGAGGCAGGTGGCTGAATTGAGTGGGCCAGGAAGACTGAGAGAGTGAGGGTGTGGAACTTGAATTTAGCTGCAGCCAGTGACAGAGCAACTCAAGAACAAAAGACAGAGGGAACCAGGTCTTGTTTTGAGGATGTAGTCTTAGGTAGGGCAGGAGGAGACTTGATGAGGTGAAGGTATTTCACCACTGGGAGGGACTCAGAAACCATCTTACTCACGCCATTCATTCATTCATTCATTCATTCATTCCTCCCTCCTCCCTCCCTCCCTCCTTCCTTCCTTCTTCCTTCCCTCCCTCCCTCCCTCCCTTCTCTCTCTCTCTCTCTCTCTTTCTTTTTAAATATTTTTTAAGACAGGAACTCACTATGTAGCTCTGGCTGTCCTGGAACTCACTACTTGACCAGGCTGACCTTGAACT